ATCTCATCGCACTTACTACTTACCCCTACCTCTCTATTTCGATGGGCTTATCCCACTCGGGCCTCCAATCCGGATACTTTCATTGTCACGTAGACCCGAGGCCACAACATCTTGGTCTTCACATCTTCTACTCACATGATTGTGGGAAAAGTATACTATCAGTCTTTCATCAGCTTACACGAAATAGGGTAAGCTCTAAAGCCAAATTTTTCTCTACCCTTTCGCCATTCTGTCAACTTGACTTTTTAGTTGAATGTGGCTATTTGAAATGAATAGACAAGCAGAAAACTCACCGATAAGTTGACTTTGCGCCTTTTTGGAGGCCTTCGAGCCGAGCTTTGGCTTCGACTTTCCTGTGCCCTCTTTGCAGACAGAATCCGATTCGCGATACAGACTGATGGTGAGCATTGAGACGTCTGGCAGGTTGCTTTGGTGAGGCATCGAGAGCCACGGTTGGTAAGACAGAAGGGAATTAGACAGAAGAGAAGGCATGAAAGTGATAAATATGAAGGGGAGTAATTTGGAGTGGAGACAAAGAAAGTGCTAGAAATCGTTCGTAACTATGCCCAGCATGGAATGTGAATAGTCGGCTTTGCAGACTAATAAAGCGCCTTACCGTCGGTAAGATCCAAATAGGCCGTAAACTGGTGTGCAGCAAGAGACGGATTTAGATTGAAGGAGGAATAGAAAATAAGCCTAATTTGAGTGTCTAAACAGCCAGGCCATCCAGATTTGCTACTTTTATATGATTTGCTCCTAATTGGATTTAGAGCCAATTTGCTACTCATTACATTGTAGAAGAGCGAGTTAGTAAAGTTGAATGATTCAAGATGATTAAATCTTTTAACTGTCTACTCATCGTGAATAGTGAGTATGCAAATGGTTGTAGGTTGATAAGTGGGTAGATGGTGACAGGAGAAAAGAATTCTGACAGTGCTGTGATTCTCCTTTTTGCATGGCCGTCTTCGGCGAAACACTCTTTAAGGCCATTCGATTGTCAAGTGTCGAATAGACCTTCTAATCAGAATCGTCTCACTTCGGCTCTCAGCTGGATACCAAAGCAATTTAGTTCGGGCACACATTCACCATCGGTATGCCATTGGACTTCCAGGACCGTGGCTAATTGGCACTGTCGACAGAGAGAGATGGAAATCCACACTTTCGCCCATCCAATGTCGGTTAAACCTGCCTCGAGAATACGTTGCCTTGCTCCATTCGCTCCCGTCACCGTGGCGATTGATGATTTTTTTACGGAGCCGACCTATTTTGGGACAGAGTTTATATGGCGTCATCGGGCAGGAGGTAAAGTGATTACTATAAAAAGGTATAAAATGCAAGAGAGCGTGGCCTTAGGCTGCTAGGTCGTTGTTTCCTTTCTTTGTTTAGGTTAGGGTTGACCTCATTTTTGCAGTTTGTTCGGGATGACAAAAAGACCTTGAACAACGCACTCAGTCCCACGTCTTCTGACAAGGCAGCAGATACCGAGAGGTGTAGATAGGG